GGGGCCGCAGGCCCACGCGCGCTAGGGGCCCCAGCCCCAGGCCCAGGCGCGCTAGGCCCAAGGGCCCCAGGCCCAGGAGCCCCTGGTTCCGGAAATCTCGCACCATCACATTCAGCACGTTCACCAATGCCAAGTTGGTGGGAAGTTCCTCTGGTGGGCCATTGAATGCCTGCAGCGGATTATTGCGTCAGCCTGGGGTGGGGTACAATGATAGGGAAGCCCTTGGAGCAGGTGCTGACAGTTTGTCACGCCCCGGCCTCAACTAAGTTGGAATGCCTGTATTTTTTTTACATTATTTGCCGATGGTCACTACTTTGTGTGGCGGTCTCTCACCTGCCGGCACGCCGCTATCGGGCACTCGCTGACAGGCAGTTGTTCTCGGAGGCACCGCAGGCACACCGTGTGCCCACACGGCAGGACCTTGGGGATCAGGGGGCGTTCTCCGGTGACGAACGGCCTGTTACATCTGACACAATCCATGACAGCAGCACCTAGAAGCAAGTTTTCTCAAACTCTGGCCTGGTGCCCATTAAGGTGCCACCGCCTCTTGTAGCACATATCGTTCTTAGAACGTTTACGGAACCTCCAGAGAACCAAACCCAGCCAGAAACGTCGTATCGATATTCCGTCGAATCGACATCGACTTGTCGAAAAATTCATCGTTTCGACGTATTTTTGGACCTCTGGTACGACCAACGACGTCGAAATGACGGCGTTACGACATGCCATTTCTGGCTGGGAAATAACGTTCTCATAACGTTGTCTGAGTGTTTGGTGCTACAAGCGCGTACAATAAAAATACAAACCATGGATTTGTGGGCGGAGGGCGGAGTGGAGGAGAGTGTAGGTAGTCTTTTTCGGGCATTTCCTTTATACAAAGGCACGCTTCTACACATATACATTGTCGTGATGGCAGAAGTCGGAACACGGCGGCCCTGACCTGCGACCACGCTATCCATCGAAGCGCAGCGCGGCGACTGGACTAAGACTGGTCTACTGGACTCCTACGGACAGGGTCCATGACCTCAAACGCGGAGCCGCGGTCCGCGGTCGAGGAGGCGCGTGGAGGGCCAAAAAAGAAGGGGTGTGACGCATACTTTGAAGAGGCACAGTCCATCTCCGAAACGAAAGTTTTGAATGAGTCTAAGCCAGTTTAAGCCTTGAAAAAAGAACCTTCAAAGATCTGCGATTTCTTTTAGTTTGAACAGAGCGGAACAGAGTGAGAAATTTTTCCGATAATATCGTTTTGACATAGGTGTTCACGTTGGTTAGCAATACAAAACTGGTCATGAAATGGCCGTCCTTTTGACATCAAAACTAACGACTAAAGTGTGACAAGTGTATCTTACATTTCGTTACGTAAAACACACTGACATATGTTTGACGAAGTGTGGGACCCTCACAAATATTTACAGTTATCTTACTATATCACTTTCCACAAACGTAAGCCGACACGTCTTTTAGACAAGACGCGTTACAGGTCT